AACCTAAACTCTTTCTCTATAAATCTCATCTCTTCTCTTTCCCAATACCACAACTCCCCAACAACAATCACTTTACTTCTTTTCGACATCCTTTTACATTCCACATAAAGTTATCATGGAGTCTCCTGTCTTTCCAACGCTCACTTCATTTTTGGGCTTAGCTTTTGTGGTCCTCATCTTGCTGTTTATGGGCAGGTGGCTACGCCGTGCACGGCTTCACTGATTTCTAGTTCAGCCCTTGTATGAATTTCCTGACGAATAGTACCACCAATGGTACTTCGCCGACTGCGATTGTTGCAATGCACTCAAGTCGGTACAAGTAAGCATGGGACTGTACCTGCCTCATTGTAACAGGAAATATCCCACTCCAGCTACCATCAACCGAACCTTGGCCATCTCCTCCCCGAGCTTGTAACATGCCTGGTGTCCCTCTCAATGCAAATGTAATTTTCTACTATATAATTGAGTTCAAGGGTTTATTTTAGACCCCTTTTTATACCAACAAAATGCTAATGTAAATTTTCTTTGCTTGCAGCCACTGGTGCACCTATTCCTGCTCCAGGTATTTATATCATTTTGATACTTATAAAAGACCACATAATCAAAATGTTCTGCAAATTAAAAATTGTCTTGGTGAATCAAATGGCTTATTCATTTGGTTACTAATTTGCAGGTCTTCCTCATTTGGAGCACCACCATCTGCAAGTCACACAGGTAAACTTCTACCTCTTTAAGTACAATAATCACAGCTATGGCTTTCCTTGGCACAATTAATTTACCTTTTGAGTGTTTAGGTTTCTGTGAAGTCCTTTTATTTATATTAAAAGTATTGATTTGTCTCTGCAGGTACTGGTGTTCCTGAGCCACACCATCTGCTACAGCACCAGAATCAGACACAACACCAACATTAACTCACCATCGACAAGAGTGGATCCTAAGCCCCCACTGTGACTCCGGGGAGCCGCCCTGTTCGACCCACCATCAGCTGCATGCCCTCCTATAATTTCTCGCCATCTCTTTGCTATTTGCAGTAGGATTTTAATTATGAAGTATACTAGGTCTCTGCCTTTGCATATCCATTATGTACTTAAAACATTGAGAAATATTCTTTTGGTGTGTGATTATTGTTTGGGCTAGCTCAAATTCCATATTGAGTGATTATTTATTAATAGCCTGTAGTTTTGTATTGCTTGTAAGTATGATATGAAATAGTTATCTATTTTTTATTAATGAAGAAGTTTTTTACTGTTTGTGACAGATTATGGATTCCTAATAAGATCTCGGAATTCTTTTAAAATGGTTTTTTAATGTTCACCTTGGCATTGGTTATGATTTTGCAGAAAAAAATTGGTATTAGACTATTGAACACATTTTTTTTTTTTTTTATCACTTGAACTTTAGTAATCAATATCAATATAATACGCCAAATATTATCGACTTGTTTGCAAATTCTTGTTAACGATATTTGTACGTGTAATTATTTCATAAATAATTTAATTCTGGGCCAAAATTCTAGAACAAACTCATTACATGAATAGAAATGGCTCATGAAGATTCAACCTTTCCATTTCATTCCATATCATGCCCCAGTCATCAAAATGAAGCCCTAATCTGTTAAGAAATTGTTGTTGATTGTACCTTCACAGTTCATGACTTCTCTCAATCTGCAGACTGATCCCAATCCACCAACCCTTAATCATGCTTTTCTTTTCTTTATTGGTTTTCAACATTAATATTACCCTTAAGTTCAGTTTGGAAATAAGTTTTTATGATGTTTTTGAGGCTCTTGAGACATGAAACGTACACCTGTTACTGAAATCACCAGAAGAAAAAGAGAAAGGTTCTTGTATTTGAGGAATTGCTGTTGCTGATTATATCCCTAGAAAAGATGCCTATCAAAATGAGTTTAAAGAAGAAGAAAGAATTATAAGGGCTTGTAGGAAGATTTGTGAATGCTCTAAAACATGCCAAACGCAACCCTATTGCACAAGGCAGATATAATCTGCAGTGATTATTAAGTCAATTTACATTTGCATCATGAAATTAAGGGAGTAGTTTCAACCAAACTTGCTTGTATTTAGTCTTGGAGCTCTGTGCTTTAATCCCTAAGATCAACAGCCAAATCCAGGGTGCCCTATTGAGGGTTATCAATCTGCTACAATGCGTAATCAAGGCACATAAATCTTCCATTGAAATTTGCTGCAAACCCCTTACTCAAGTGTTCCAAGCCGGGTATAGCTGTTTGTGCTCGGTGTTGGCATCATCCAATATTCCTCTTTTAAACGCTCCAATTTTATTGCATTTTCAAATTGCTTCATCTCTGGCCTCCTTGACTCTATGTCGAGGTAATGCTGAACTTTAACCCCTCATTTCCCTTCTTGAATATACTATATACTAATAGGAATTTTCTGCAATTTCACTTGAAGTTCTAGCTCAATGCCAATAGTGCTTCCACAGCTAGCCCCAAGGAGCGGACACAGCCTTCTTCCCCTAAAAATGTGCTTCTACCTCCGCCTCCACACGAGATGCACTTCCCTTGAACCCAAGAACAGTCGATAACACTTCAACCCTGCCAAGGCAACCACATTCAACCGAAAGTTCTGCTCCAAATCCAGTGTGTTCAAGGCTGGGAATGAATCGTCAAGCGGGAGAATGAAAACAAAATATTGAATTAAATGTTTGTTCCTGTGCTTGGCTCTTCATGTTTGTATTTATTTGCTTAATCCTCTACTTATGCATTGTACACTCTTAAGTTAAGTGAAAAACATTCTACTTTTTCAAATATATCAAGAACAGTAAGAAGCTGCAGCCGTGCAAGTGGACTGATATTGCCTTAAATTCTATGCTAAAAAAACACAAAATTTGGTTATCGGGGTAGTGGACACATCGCGCGAGAGAAACGAAGAAAGAAAGAATTTCTGATGGCTTGAAACATTCCTTTGCCACGGAGCACCTCGAGGGTTTAAATCAAAGTCATTGTAAAATATGGTAGATACTTCACAAATGAGTAAGATTTTTTAGTATGGTAACTCAGTATCTGAAGGGTGTCATCCGGCCACAAGGGAGAGGTGAAAATATTTATTTATGAAGATTGCTTATAGAAACAATGATATGTGAATAATTTTTCATCATATGAGAAAGTCAATTCTATATTGATATGAGTTGTATTATTCTATACTCATTTATTAAAACAAAAATGATTGTAAATTTTCTTCTGTTAAACCTTCAAGCTCCTCAACCACACACATTATGACTTGTGATATCAATTTAAATTTCATTTACTTATGATTACCAATTAGAAAAAAAATCATGGGTAATATTCTTCTAATTCATATCAATTTCTTTGAAAATCCAGATCTTATTTTGTTTAATACATTGACCTTTTTTCTTTAGAGGCTACAACGATAATAATAATAAAAACTACATTGAATGACCGAGTGGTTGATAGGAATTCTTGAGTGTATTACTCAAGAGATCATGAATTCGATTCTCTTTTCGGTTACTAATGGATAATCACTGGAGCTCTTACCCGATCGATAGTTTTAGTCCCGAATGATTAGTTGAAATGCATATAAGTTGGCCCGGAAACCCCTATCATAAAAAAAAATAATAACAATAAAAATCTTTAACGAAAATAATCTCATTTATTTTTAAAAGTTTTTTTAATAATTTAGATATATAATAAAATAATAATTAAATAGATTGATACAGCTTTATAACACATTTGGGTTATTAAATGAGTTAAACAAGTTTGTAATATAATCAAATCGGCCCATTTAAAATCAACAATTAACCTCTTGTTCCGTGTCGCATCCGTGTCATGTCAGATAAATCATCTCAAGAAAAATGCCACCTCAGCCTATGATCTGCCCACAGTATCAAAATTCATGTGTTAAAAATAAAACCCAAGGGCAAAACGTAAAACAACTGTTCAACTTCTAGACAGTGGCGCCAATTCTCGCCACTCTATAACAACCATTAACCGTCCTCACCACACCAACTAACTAAAACCAGAAACATCTCTCTCTCGAGTCCAGAAAAATCAGACCGCGTAACAGCTGTCCTCCGCCTCCTCACCTTCACGCTCTTCGTTGCCACGTCAGTACAACTGCCGTGCCTGATGGATGCTCCCCCGTGCTGGTGCGTTCTCGCATGTTTGCAATACGGTCCGCGCCCGCCAATAAATGGCGGAAACTGTTCCGTTCAGTGCTGTGACGCCAGTAAACTCGGCCTTCAATTCTGGCCACGGTGAATGCCTCTGTGAACCTCTCCGGCAGCCGTCATCTTCGGCTTTCACTGAACGAAACCAGACTCCGTTCGCTGTCTCCTTTGCCACACGAGTGGTTCTCTGGAGTCGATCTGCTCTCAGGTATATTCTCTTGAATCTTGATTGCTGAATTTGGATTTTCGTTTGATTGGTTTAGGATTTTTTATAGAATCATTAACTTAGGTAAGGGCTTTAATTTTCGCGCCAAAATGTAACTGTCGAGATTTGAGAATCAGAGACCAAGGCTTGGTCCGCCATAGTGCGCAAGTTAGCATTAGGAGTTTTAGGTTGGTATTAATTTAATATTACGTGTTCAGCTCCATGGCTGACCAAATAGTCTCAATATTATTAGTCCCTGGAGATAGAGATACTGTGGTTCAATGAGTATCCAATGTGTGTATTTCACTTGAGAATGTAATTGTGGATTCTCTCATTTTAGCTCAGTCACAGTCTTCATTTGCTATTTAACAAGAATATGTTTACAAATTTTTAAATGACTTGTAATTTGTGGTGCGTATAATTTGCATCATAGGGTCATCACAAACAGATTTGCCTCCTCTCCATGGCGGCATGACAGGTCCAGAGATTCCAAACCCACCTGATTCAGGTAGTAAACAACAATTCCGTTTCCTTCTGATTCAGGTGAGCCAAATTTCCGATTCCGAAACCACCTGATCAGTAACCTACCACACTTTTCTATTCCAAACCACCTGATTCAAGTAACCTACCACACTTCCTATTCCAAAACCACCTGATAAGAAACTACCACACTTTCCTATTCCAAAACCTTCTGATAACTCCCTCCATTGCCAATTCCAAAACTTGATAACCACTCAATTGCCAATTCCAAAACCTTCTGATACCATCCTCAGTTGCCAATTCCAAAACCTTCTGATAACCACCCTCAATGCTTTGCCTCCTCTCCCGTTTCAAAAACTTCTGATAACCACCCTCAACTGCCTTTGCCTCCTCTCCCGTTTCCAAAAACTTCTGAAACCACCCTCAATTGCCTTTGCCTCCTCTCCCGTTTCCAAACCTTCTGATTCAGGTAAGCAACCACATTTGCCTTTGCTCCCTCTCCCACTTCCAAAACCTTTTGATTCAGGGCACTACCACGTTTGCCTTTACCTCCTCCACCACTTCCAAACCTTCTGATTCAGGGCAGCTACCACATTTGCCTTTACCTCCTTTCCACGGTGAACGGACCAGAGATCCCAAAACCTTTTGATCCGGTAAGAAACCACAATGAACTCAGTATTTCTTAATTTTTATTATCATCATTAAAAATACATGCACAAAGAAACAAATCGTTATCTGTTGACAAATTGAGATCCCTAAAGATAACCACATCCTTGCAGCTCTTGCAAGTATCAATTGCACATTCCACTGAACTACTTGTTGGTCCATAGCAAATCATATATCGTTATGAAGTAATTGCTATGTCATTGGATGGATGCAATTTTGTCTTATAATATGGTTAAACCCATATCATCAAATTATTGCAGATTGAGTTGTATAATGCATGTTGGAGATTTAACCCATGACTAAAACTGTTTAAGCAAGGGAACTATGGCCTGTTACTGAACATCACAATTTTGCAGGAAATGATAATACCTCTGCTCCAACGACGAGTTCACCTACAACCAAACTCATCCGTAATAGATCCAGAGGTTCTATAGCAACTACAAAGATTTCAAAAGCAATAGTTGGTTTCTACCGGGATTAATGATTTCCTTCTTGTCTTCATTCACACATAGTGTTACAGGCATCATACAGAATACTACTCATTTAGATGTTCTCACTTTCAACGATTAAACAAAATGTAATTGCCTGCACCAAGTATATGAAGAAAATAAGTCACCTATTTTTTAGGCATAAATGTGTGGTTCTGATAGCAACCTCCATCTTAGTGAGACGGCACAAACAGTTTAACTTTGTTGGTAGAAGCAAAGCGTTCTATCCTTATTGGAGCATATTCAAATTCAAAACCTAGTAAGTTTTGGTTTTAGTCTCTAATTGTCTCGCATCATTGCACGCTAAATGTTCAAGTCAAATATAAGTGAAAATTATATTTGCACGGTAAAGCTTGATCAAACCTTTCTAATGGCGTGTAACTCCAAACTCAGAATAAAGCTTTACAAAATTCAATTCTCTGACACACTCATTGTCTGTCCCAAAAAGATTAACAAAAAATTTCTCTGATGGAGCAACTTTCGTCTGATGATGAAAATAAGTTTCAAAACAAAAGACACTTTTAGTTCACAGAGCTGGGTAAATAAATTTACCGCCACCATCAGACCACCATCTTCATCTTTGAAAGGTTTAACAAATTCTTATCTGAGATGATTCTCAATCCAGTCACCCTGTTCAAAATTCTGTACAAGTTCTTCTCATGACGGTTTAAAAAACCCCTTCCGCTGGATCTTCATCTGGATACCCCTGCCTCTCAGGAAGTGCACAACCCTGGTAAGAATTGGTTGTCTGCACACGCCATAAAAGCTATTCCAGTATTCATCTGCCCAACGTGAAAAACTTCAGCATTAGTGATGTAAATAACTAAACCTTGGAAATGTAGGCATGAGAATTCAACTGACTCTGATTCCAGTACAAAAAGTTTTGAGACATCGGCTCTCTTCTTTTTTTTTTTTTTTTTTTTTTTTTTCCTTCTAGTGTTCCAGGGTTCCTTTAACAATTTGATTTCTTATTACAAAACAAGGATGACTAGTGAATGCACTGGAGTATAAAGTGCAAGAGTCATTTTAAAACTCAAAGGCAGGAATTAGGAAATGCTGGAAGACTAAGAGCTGGTGGCAGGTGACAAAACTTACGACGAACACAAGGCTACTATTAATTGATAGAAACGACGAACACAGTTATGATCATGTCATACAAGAATAAAGCTCAATCAATACTATCAAAATTTGACTACAACATATATAATTTGTATATAAATAAATTAATATGAAGGCTTAGAACATGCCGAACTTATGAAACACAAATTCCAAACTGAAAAGTGGAGGAATAAAAAAGTAAAACACTTGCAACTGAACCATTTTTTCCAAAACAACTGCAAATACATGGAAAACTCATGGTGGAGACACCGTAAACACCCTATGAGGCGCATGTCTTTGTTAAACCCTCTTCCCTTTCTCATACTTCTTACTTTTTTTTTTTTTTTTTTCCTGAGCTCCCAGTTCAAACCTTGATGCCTAAAACATCAAAAGTGGACTCTTGAATCTATTAAAAAGTATTAACATCTCACTGATGCAAATTTTTGGTGTTTGCTATGTCTTTTGAACAGGTACATTGACCATTAGGTGCAACTAGGAAATGAATGTTCCCATCTGGACATTAATAAAGTGCAGAAGTTCCTAAAAAGGTAAAAGTTGAAATCTCACACTACAGTGCAACCCTTGACAACACTTAACTAAGGAATGATCATATAGTGGCACGTACATGCAAATAGAAAATTATCTAATTAGATGAGGTCTTTGGAGAGAATAATATAACTCATCAGGAGGTTTTCCAATTCCTTAACATAGAAAGATTACAGTAAGCGAAAAGGAATACCTTGCTCACAATGTGTGGATTCCCGATCACAACAAGCAAAGATATTGCCAGGGTAACAGCCACATTAACCTTCTTGGATTGTCAGAAATCCTAAACAGTGTCTTTCTGTCAAATTCATGTGTTTGATGTTGATCGGACAGTAGAATAATAATGACTTGCCTTTCTTGTCCTTGGAACCTGTTCAACACTGCCAACCTTGATATCAGGCATATCTAAACTTTCTAGGGTTTTCTTTAGTTTGAGTACCTGCTGTCATATGGTGTTATGACCCCTATATCTTCCTCACTCAATCCCACTTGCTGTCAATCTCTCGATGACCTCTACAACTTGCGTAATCCGATTGAGGAGTGGACACAGAATACAAGAACACGTAGGAGATTACTGAAGATATCTCCCACAAGGAACTTGTGTCGTCTTTACATGCAATCAATTCCTCTTCATAGAACAGCTTTGAAGGAAGATACAAAATTCGGGATGACATCGGTAGTTTCTAACAACTTTGTTACATAATTATTCCTGTATAAAAAAGCAGATTCAAACAGCCTTTCCAAGTATGATTTCCCCAATCCATAAGTCCTGCATCTCTTGATATATTACGACCAAAGCATGGGTCGTCCAGCAAGAACAACAACAGTTCCTTTTTAGGGATCAGACTGGCTCACAGGCCAGCTCAGTCCAAGAAAATATGGAGAGAGAAGTGGCCACAAGTAATACCTTCAGCATAAAGAAGAGACAGGCACTCAATATAGTGATAGAATGAATCCTGTAGCGAGTGAGGGGCATTGAGATGAGGACAACTTAAAGAAACCAAAAACTCATTTAACGAAGCAAAAGCGGATATGATGAGGCTGACATCCTACTATGAGCGAGAAGTTGCATTGAGCCGTGGAAAGCACATCATTCTCTTGAACCTCGTTCTTCTTAGAGGTGTGATCCGCAAGGCACTAGCTTTGAAGACGCACAGACAGAATGCTCGAAGATTCTCTCGTATGTTCTGGTAGGAGCTGGAGAATTGCTTCCACAAGTGTCATAGTCTTACCTGTACCAGGAAGGTCCATGAACTCAGACTAAGGAAGCGCGTCCTTGTGCAGCAAGAGATCATCCTCGTGACGTGATCACTAAGTCTTTTCAAAATCAAGGGGAACTCCAGAAGTGGAAAGGGAAACCTCCATGTCTAGACTCGATTGTAAAGAGTGAAACTGTACATTGTAAAGATCACCACCGGGGAGTGAAAAAAAAAAATCACCAATGTGACAACATCACATTAGTGGACAAAGGTTGGAGTATTAACAAAAGACAGTAAATACAAAGGTGCGCTACATAAACAAAAAGACTGCATCTTATTTTTTATGACGATGACTTGGATGGTCAAAGGAACACTCAAGTTTAGGTAATGTGCCTACCAAACACCATCTTGGTGATGTAAATTTTTTTTTTTTCTTTTCACTAGGTAAATTCTAGGGTTGAAATACTTTAAGAATTAGCGAAATAAATGTTTTCCAATAATCAGAGACAAGACTGATAAGGAGATGTCTTACTCCTCCATTGTCATTAGCAAGCTTGACAAAAATAAAATCTCCATGAACAAGTGATGGCCTTCTCAGCGAGCTGGGACCTCAAGAGTCAAAATTGTCCTCTTTCCTATAGCAACATTCTCCATGTGATGAGACCTCATTCTACCTGCAGTAAAAAATTGTCAAATACATCAAAAGTTGACGATGGTTTCTATATAATACTAATATATAGTTTTAATTATTTATATATAACCTCCAGTGTATTTCTTCCATGATCACTAATGTTTCGAAGTAAGAACAGTAATTGTCTCTTGTTAGACCTTTGAAAACATCTGGGATCTGCTTGTCTCAATGAGTTCTCTCATATTCTTTGGAATGGCATATTTGGGAAGCCTATTCTGGAAAGAAACTTGGCCAGTCACTCTTGCAGGACGCGAACCGACAATATGGATCCACATCAAAATGTTTTTTCTTGTACCTCTGAATATGGTTTATTTGAAGCCAAAGACTGCGAGATTTTGTCTCCAAGAGAAAATCACTCGCTCTATCCTATCCCCCCTATATCAAAATGCACAATTGTAGTGTGCAGGCCGATTCCATTTGGCTTGCAAGACAACCAGATAGTTAAGATCTCATCTAGGCTGAACCCTTGTCTAACTTAAAAGATTCCAAAAACTGGCTGATACTACACTCTGACTTTCCAGATGGAGGCTTCATCACAAAGAAATTGTGAAAGTATTCAGGGTTTGAGGCATAAAATTTAGTCATAGATCCACAGGCTCACCACTGTGTGTTTTTAAGGTGATTGAATCTACAGCAGTTTCCTACGATCACCGATTGAGGTTTCCCCTCTACAAGGAATGGAAACGAAATCACAAAGAAACCTCTTCCTCGGGATGTAACTACACACCGATCTATCATCCATAACAATAAACCCTATTTCTCCTTTATCCTCATGACAGAGCATTCATCATCCCACTTGTCAATAACAGTACCCATCAAGACAGAAAGTGAAATGAACAAGTACCTGTGAATTTTAACCACAAACAATCGTATGCTAAATACATACAAACAAACACAAAGCTATACATCAGAACCTTTGAGAGCGTGACAAATACAAGAAAAATATCACAGCATGAAACTTTAATAAACAAACTCAAACCAAACCCAAAATGCCCTTGATACAATCAATATAACAATAATCCAATATTCAGAGTGTGCCGCAACCAATTATTAACACACTGTCAGAAACCATTGTTTTAATGATTAATCAAAACTCAGTAGAGAAAAAAAAAAAAAAAAAAAAAAAATCTAAGTTATCAACTAGATTGCAGCAAAAGCATTCCATTAAACCCAGAACATAATGAGAAACGATCTATTTCACTCTAAAAACAGATACTTACTTTCTTCAAAGAAACACTCAATTAAACTTACAAAGGCCCGTATGATATACGCATTCTGTAAAAGGGGAAACTTGTATTGATACGAGGAAGAAGGTATAAAAGACTCACTTTGAAGAAAGGCTGAGATAAAAGAGAGTGTTGATGAGAAATAAAAATGAGAAGACTACTAGCCCGGTTTCCTTTAACATAGTTTTTTGGGTTCTTCGTTGGTACATAGCAACATCAAGTACTGCTTCTTC